ACCAGATTCCCCGTCTTGTCCTGCAAGGGCCCCACATTTCCTGGGGCCTTCTTTCTACTCCCTATGTACTTAAAAAAGGACTTCTTGTTGTCCTTAATCCGGGAAGCCAGCCCCTGTTCCATCTCTGCCTTGGCCTTCCTAACCATCCCCCTACATCCCCGAGCAACTGCTGAATTAGTGTCACAGCCTCACAGCAGCTCTTCAGACGCAAGGAATTTGGAGACTGTTGGATGACAAAAAGAAAACAAAAAAAAACAGTGCTTTTGGCTGTCTTCACCCCTGGGCCTCAGAGCTCAATGAATCAGTTTTACTCTCCCCACTTTGCAGGTAGAGGAAAAACAAACCTTTTTGTGTTGTAGTGAAACCATAGGCAAGTGGCTAAGCACCTGATACAAAGACTATAGAGGTCATTGAAGACTTTCCTCTTGTGTAGTGACTTGTGTGATGATAGAACCCAAATAATCTGACCCGTAGTCCCTTCTGTTGGACATTTCTGCTCCCTAATGCAGGATTTCTCTAATAAAAATTGGACGGACCCCTAAAAACACTAAATGATGAGTGCCAAGCTTAGCAGAGGAGGTGGGAATGGAGGGAAGCAATCCCCCTTGAAACAGGTTTCTTTATTCCTCCTTCTGTCACGGTGGGTCTGTGTAGGGGAACCTTCTAGGCTTCATGGAGCAAGGCTGAACAGTTTCAGCTTATTTGCTAAACGTGACTTTCTTTTGGAGGCTTCCACTTTTTTTTCCCCTCCCTTGCTTCTCTGCTTTGTTCTTATCTGAGTGAGACAGGCAGAGCATCCGTAGCAGATTCCTTGCTTAGGAGTTATTTTAGAAAAGCTCTTACAAAGAGGAAAGTGGCATCAGCATGTGGATTGTAGAAAAAATAAGTTAATTTGTGAATGCACACAGCAAATAAAGTGAGGACCTTCTTCCTTCAGGATCATGCTGGAAAGGCTGAAGCATAATTAACAGAAAGAAAAAGCAAAAGGGCTAAATTTGCATAAAACAACATTCCTTCTTGACCTTGTAGAACAAGACTTGCAAAGCTAGAATAGGTCTGAATGCAGTAGACTATTTTAGACGGAACGTTAAAGTCCAACAAGATGAAATAACCTGATTCTGCTGTATATATGAATGGCCAAACTACAACCAATGATCCATGCAGGCTTTGCTATCACAGTTTATATAGGCTATTACTGAGGAGCTCATGTGACTGTTTGAGAGTCCGCCTGCCTTGTTCATTATGCTTTGGCTAAACATGATACCTGCCTCTCTCTTTCCCCTCCTCCAGTCCTGGAAATTTGTCAGTGCTTAATTACAACGGGCTTTGTTGCTGTGAGAACAGACCCGGTTGAGTCAGAGGCACGCAGCAGAACTCCAGCCGAGTGCCTATAAAAGCATGGCTTCTGCTGCTTGAGATTGAGGCTATTCTGTAAAGTACAACCCACCACTTAAATGTTCTAAGGAATTCCCTATGTAGCTCATATGAAGTAGCAATCTTCCTCAGGCTGTAATTACGTGCTCTCTAATAGAATGGCACCTCAGGGAGAAAAACACCCCTAAAAATAATTAACAGGATCCTTGGCAGGGTATCTCAGTGCAAAAAGTGACAGATTGTTCAAGGTAGAACGTTTGCCCTGTCAGTTTCTCAGGGAAAGGTGTGAATGTGGAGGTGTATGCATGGAGCCTGGCAGCAGCCCTGGGGTAGTTGGGAAGGGGGGGAAATTGTGATATTTAGCTGTTTTCTGGTTATTGATTTGTATTACAGTAGCGCCTAGAGGCCCCCCGTACCAGGCACTATACAGACATGTCAGAGAGCCAGTGCTTCAGACCTTAGCATTCAAAAAGAGAAGACTGACAAATAGGTAGAAAAAATACAAGGGAGGTGATTTGCCCAAGGATACCTCTCAGGTCAGTGGCAGGGCCAGAAACAGAGGGTAGGTCTCCTGTGCCCTAATCGCTATATACCAAATACATCTCTAATCACTATACTACATTCACAGACCTGAGAAATAGGAGGGATGCCTCTCTAATTGCTCCTTGAGAACTGTATTTTCTCTACTGGCTGGAAACCTGTAACCAGCACTCAAAGGATCAACAAAAAATCTGTTGCTTAATGAACTAGAGCAGAGTTGTACTCCAAATGCCTTTCTGAAGTGAAGTATGCGATGATTATTTGAGTGGGAGGCAAGACCTGTGCTCCGAAGAGCTTGCACTCTAAACAGACAACAGGCAGAATAAGGCCAAGGGAAGAAGAATGGTACCTTGTATGCATCATAGTTTTCACAAGTTTGGGACAAGTTAGTGCCCTGTGTGTAGGGTTGGAGTAGTGTTATAATTGTGATGGTCCATGAGAATTCTTCTAGTTGTTGTACATCACTGGGCATACTTCTAGGTGTAGCTGGATTTGAAAGCTGTTTAGACCCAGCAGCATCTGCTGAGAACAAGAAGGCTCCTGAATGCTCTGGGAAGTCTGGGCACTTCACCTAGATGCATAAAATCTGGCCCTAGAGTTCACCTTACACTTGGGCAACGTTTTTGTGTATGCTTCAAGAAAGGCATCTTTTAATCCATTACTCCATTATTAAGTGCAGAGTTAATCCCAACCATACTATGGGGAAATAAGAGTGCCTCATGATATAAGAAATCATTTAATTGTACATGTTAACATTACCCTTTAACTGAACTGTGTAAGGATCTCACTGGTGACCTAGGCTATAACTGTGTCCTTTGGAAGCTTGGTAAGTGTACTGTGCTAAAGGTTTAATAGTGTTAATAAGACCTGTTTTGTTTCACCAGGTTGGCAACGTTATACAAATCGCCGAGTCAGAAGGAGTCAACAGTACCATACTGTGTTACCGTTAGTATTGAATTTGTGGGAGGACTTTGGAGGCAGGAGGAGAGATTTAGCCAGAAGAAGCATTCACAGATGTGTTTTTAGCTCCAAGGAAGCCAGTTTGGTCTTTTGGAAAGTTGCGTTTGGAACCCGATAGCAGAAATAGTTAGTCATACCGGTGTGAAATTACATGTTAGGAACGTAGGACTGGAAGAGACTTTTCTGCATCTTAAAACTAGATAGGTTTTTTGACCTTAACTACTCTCCTCTTTGGACACTGTTGCAGGACCTCACTCCTTTGATTGTTAAAACTTTCCAGATTCTAGCCTTAATATATTCATAGTAACTCTATATCCATTTGCTCTTGTGTCAATGTTGTCCTTTAGCTTTTACTAATTCTGTCCTTTCTGATGCTTACTTCTGATCCCAGTGTCTTGTTAAAATGCAGTTATCCTGCTTCTCAGCCTTTATTAGGTTAAACAAGTCAGCCTTTTTAGTCTCCTCCTGGTCCATTTTCCTGATCATATGATTAGCCCTTCACTGCTCTAGTTTAAATTAATCTTTCTTGACCGTGGATGACCAGAACTGTAAATGGTATTCTAGAAGAGATCTCACCAGTCTCCTATATAAAGGCATTCAGGTTTCCTTGCATCTTCTGGAAATACTTTGTTTAATTTATCTTAAGGTCAGATTTACCATTTTCACTGCTTACTCACATGGCTGGCTCACAGTCTTCCTGTTCCTCTGTCATTTTCAGCTTTTAGCAGAAATTTTTAGTTTCAGCCCCTTTGTGAACACTGCAGTATTCCTTTTTGTGAAGATGGGTGCTGCACATTGTGGAGCACAAGTGATTTATGTGTCAATACTAGGCATTATTACCTAAGTTCTCTTTGGATGAAAGCCATTCTCAACTCATTGCTTCAAGTGTCACTTATGCAGTTACATGTAATAACTGTTTGCCATGTGTGCTCATGGAAACATGTTGCCATAGCATTTCTTGCAGATTTTTAATGCTGCCCATAATATCTGAGGTTTTCAGACTCCTGAACAGAAATCCACGATTTTTGTTCGTGTCTTAAGGTACAAACCTTGGTAGAAGAAATATGTACAATATTCACTTTAGTCCTACCGAAGGTTCTAATTACTTTTTCCTTCCAGTTTGATTTTGTAACATTCCTCCATACAATCTCAAAATACAGGTTTGAATACACTCTAATCAGAGATTAGTTGCAGTTTTAAATTACCCAAGTGTTGAGCCTTAGTCCTGTTTCAATGCAGACTTCAGAGACTGGATACATTCTATGAGTGATAAGTACAGAATACGCAGTTATTTCTTCCATGAAAATCAGATTTGACAGTAGCTGTCCAATGTGACCATTCCTTATTATCGCCTTGGTAGTCAGACTGGCACTTGTAAATATCCATTCACTGCTGCAAAATATGATCCAACATATCTTTACCCAGGAATAAAAAATCTGGTCTTGGACCCAGATCTTCGAAAGTTCTTAGGTGTTGTATGCCCACTAATTTCTAGAGGAGTTAGAAACCTAAATATCTTTGAGGATCTGCCTCTTCCATGTTTTACATGGGATTTAGTAACCAAGACTCTGCTCTTTTGACAGGACTCCCCATTGGCACACTGGCAAGTCAGTTTACATCTCTACCTCTGTAGTTTCCTTACCTGTGAAATGGGGATTAAATGACTTAACCATCTTACAGAGGTTTTGTGGATTCATTACATAATATTTAACATGTAAAGCACAGTAAGTGCTAAATACTGTGAATTTCAGTGTAATGGATAAATAGATTGTAATGTTCCCCCAACCTTTCCAGTTTTTATCAACTTGTAGTTCAACAGTTGGAGATGGCGATACAAAACTTGTCATTTTTTGCAGCCAGTTTAAATTCTGTAAACATAGAAGCCTTAGGCATCTGAGACCTGAGCAACATTCAGCTGATTTATAATACCTCAATTTTTTTTTGTTATACTTTGCTATAGAACAGGGATGGATTAAAGACTGGTCACCTTGGTGATCACTGGCCATTCTGATTTTTGAGTGTCCAAGCAACCTTTTGAAGGCTGAGTCCCTTTTACCCATTAACGGGGACTGAAAAGTATGAGGCCAAAAGACAATGAAGCAAAAAATCCATATGGAACTGCATACTTTTATCTTTACACTGCTTACACAACTACCAGAATGCCTAGTGTGTTGGATTAAGTGGATTCTTGGCTACAGATCCACTTGTGTACTAAACGGAAATGGCAGAGATTAGATGCAAACAGCAGTGAAATACTAAATTTTAAGATTACCCATTATACAATTTAGAATAACACTTGAGCTGCTTAAAATAGCAGAAGGGCTGTATAAGTTCTGTCCTTGTGGTATCTCTTGCTGTTTGTTCCTTTTTTTAAAAACTAAAATAGTAGACCGCATGAGGTGAGACTTTTAGAAATAGATTAGAAATACACCAACTGGAGATCCGTCAAAGCATGTTTACTGGTTTCATTTCATCTTGGATTGGTCTTGCACATAGGACTTACTGGCATCTCATGGAGTCACACACTTGATAGTAATTCTTCCTGCTTTTTCACACTGCATCAACCTGAAATGTCAGCTCTTCTGAAATACTGTCACCACCCCCCCCCCCAAGTCTCTGCTTGAGCATTCAGGGTCCCCACAAGGAGTTTTTCTTCTGATTAGCCCCTTTCTCTTTTCGAGGCCCTTGCATTGTAGCTA